TGAAAACTGTTGCAAATAAAGAGTGTGAGCACTGGCATGCTGGAGCACATCGTGCATCAGCTTCAAGCATTCACCCTTCAGGGAAGCATCTCTTCTATATTATCATTTAGCATGAAAATTAAAAGTCCTGTGGGTAGAATGAGTAGTCCTTTGTTGCTTTGTTTTGTAACGTTTTATGTACACAAAAAAGAGCATAGAAGTGGAGCCTACTTGCATTTCTGTCATAATGTGTCGGATGCTACTTGCCCAGGGACATATAATATGATGAATGATAAGGTATGTATGTAAAAATACGCTTGGACCAAGCCTGCCAGCTGAACAGGGGTAATTCTACTAGTTAGTAACTAGTTTCTATTTTGTTGGACTTTTAATTAGTTGAATCGATCTCTTGAATCTAGTTGGAAACTTGAATGTAGTTTGTAAGTTTACATTTGGTTTCTGGTTCGTGAAAGTACCATTAGTCTAAAATATTTGTAAATTTATATATAAAAAGCTGTTTTTGTGATAGGATAGAACGTTTGAATTGAAAGGACTCATATTTTTTAAAAATGTAGTTTATAATCTCAAAGGACGGCAAATGACATGGATATCAAAATTTATTCGGAATAAAGTTTCAAAAAAATATTGTATGATAAGTTTTTGCTGTAATAAAAACTTGTTATTACAACAGATTTAGATTGAGGAAATTGTTTTTCTTGCTTCAGCTGAGCCTGATACTTATTTAGAAATTATAAAGTATATTTGAATCGTAATAACCGTACTTTTGTTTTATTTAATCAATATCTCAACATAAAAGGCAATAAGAAATTTATTTTTCAATCAACTAAAATATACGACGTACTTAATTTAATGTAATAATAAAACAAAGTAATACATTTAGATCATTCAATGATTCTTTATTTACACGGTGGTGACACATACAACCAAATTTATAGATCACAGAAAATTAAATTAACAATCCTCTTACAAAGCTTATACATAGTTAAACATCTAACAAAGTACTTAACAAACAACTGGGAGGAAAATTCACAACAACATTTAAAATTATTATATTTTAAATAATAGACGGACACTTATTAAAGTTTTCAACATCAACAGTACGTATTATGATTTTTAATCAAGGATTCGTCAAATAAATATTGATTGTTATTATGTAGATGAACTAATCATTATTTATTGCAACTCAATGCAGTCAAATCTATGTCAAATCGAGACGAAATTTGAAGATTATCATTTATTTTGTTTTATTTACGGACATTTTTTAATACGTCAGAAGAAGAAGATAATGAAAATCTATATTCATATAATTCTTTTGGCAATTATGTTTCTTAAATTTAACATATCATTTTGGATTGCAATTCAATTATGCTATTTTAAAGCAAATTTTTAAATTTATCTTTTAAATTCAAATAATTTAAAAAATAATAATAATCGGAACTTGCGGTTACCTTTTTACATTATTTTCAAGAGTGAACATTTAAAAAATATTTTTTCTTCTACAATGATATGATAAAATAATATAAAAGCCAATAATTAATATATTTCGTTTGGAACAAATTTCATTATTAATTCTTCACTAAAATCCACGACTCTATTTGACTCCGAATTTAAATATAATTATACGGTCCGGTTATATTTGTAAACAAAAAACCTAAACGTAACGTAAGCTGTGATTAGTATTTACTGAACAAATACAAACAATTTCATCATGAACCTACGTCTAATTTAATAGTTTAACTTGACTTAATTGGCAGTGCTTTAAAAGTAACGTTCTAGGTACTTAAACTTTTTAATTACTTTCATCTATTTGAATGATGATGAAATTAATAAAATTTATATCATGTTATCTATCATAAACATTATATTTGGCATCAGTTATCACTTTAGAGCCATTAGTTTTCATTTATAAGTGCTTTAGGTTAAACTCGAATATGTTCTTATTCAATCTAGACGCCCCTAGCCAATAGATTTTTCTGTAAGTCATTTCAATTTTATGTCGCTTGTACATGGATTTAAAAAAATTATAATAAAGAATATGGATATATAATTATAAATATAGGTATTAAGCCATCATATTAACTAGGGGGATACTCTGATATGTACTATATAATCGAGCAAGTTCGTATAGGTATATAGTTTTATGCACCAAATTCTGTGTAATTCAAGTTTCTTTAAGTGATCAATTCCTCTATATCTTAAAATGTGATCATTATACATATATACTTAGTTGGTATTTACTCTGATGGGAAAATTAGAAGAATTGTTTTAATTTAAAATAAAAATTTAAAGACGCTATGACTTTGAAAATTATATGCTATAATAAATTAACATAACAAACTATGAGCAAACATTGTAACAACCTCAATAATACGATTAATTAAAAATCTATAATAATAAAATTCAACGGTGCCATTCACAACAAACTTAACTGAACATTAAAAATGATTCAGACTTATACATCTGTTAAAATTAATAGCCGTGATATATCTAATGATTTTCTATTTTATAAGAACACTTTATGTTATCGATAGTATCATCACCTTAAACGATTTCCTACTCGCAATAAATTAAGGAGTATATGTTATTAACACTTCCTCGAACAATTGACTTAAAGGTATTTTGTGAAAACATTCTTTGTTATGAAATTGCTAATGTTCTATATTTTATCATAAGCGGTGTATTATGAGTCGGTATTGATCAAAAACGACTACAAAGATTTATGAATGACCCGCCTTTAAACTTGATATTAGGGTAGTAAAAGATGGTCATCGTATTGAGCATAGTGAATGTTTAGTACATTTAGTACCCAATTTAGACTTACATATATATAGTGTTAATAACATAGACTTTCTTCAACTGTATGTACATAAAGAGTCTAAACTAATAAAAAGTTATTTTCACTGATCATCCGTTATAACTGTTCGTTTTGTACGTCGATCATATCTGTTCGTCCTGAACATCTGCCAACAGAAAAAAAATATATATTAATATACAAGTTTTTTACTTGTTATAAACACAAAAAGCCAAAGACTGTAGAAGCAATAACTGGAAACAGTACCCTTAGTATCAGCTTCATTAGTAGTGGAAATATGTAGTAAGTTTTCGAGATTGCTTATTCATAACCATCAATATGTACATAAACCTACGATATAAGAATCGTTATACCGAAATATAATAAATGGCGTTGAATTAAGAAACTCGAAAACCGTAACAGTTTTCGTTTTGGTTAACTTATTAGTCTCATACTAAGGACAAAGTTAAGCAGAAAACTCTTTCGAAGTAAGCACAATATATTCATATTTTGGAAGCATAATTAAATAGGATATAATTATTACATTACTTTACTTTCACAAAGCCAATAAATTACTTATTTACAACCAATAACATTCATGCAAGGAAATCTCGTTACACAGCATTTCATTTATTCTAATAAATTCATCAATTTTTTATCAATTGTATGTCTTAAAATAGATGTGTTGGTGTGTTGCAACAGTTTTAAATGGCCGTGCTTAATGTTAGAAAAATTGAAACCTAGGTCCAGCTAAACTGGAAGAATGCCAAGATTCTATCAAGTTCAAATTTCCATTATGTTTCGTTCGTGAAAAGAATTAATAACATGGTAACAGTTTTTACAACGAAATTGTATTTATTATGACGATGTTAACAAAATTTGAGAGCAAAACAGCCGGTTTTAAAATATACAAACGATATGGCTCTATAAATTAATTATTTACACATCAAAAATGAATAATAATGGTATTTAAGGAATAATTTTAACATGTTTCAACAGTTTGGAATGTACTTAAGCTGGATTTAATAACAACAGTAGGTGTAGTGACGCTAGGGCGGTGCGGTGTGGGGTGCCATGCTGAGGAACAAAACATTTATGGGGTTCTACGGGATACGGAACAATTCTCCATCTAGATACTTACTATCAGCCTTACAATTCAATTGACGACATCATGTCGCAATGTCCATTTTGTCCTCATCAATCAATTTTGAAAAGAAAACATTCCCAATTAATATTTAATGTTTGTATAGCTTAATATAAATTTTATTATAATCACTCAATATGCATTAACGAGATTTGACTGCATGAATTGAACTATGCGTCTAAAAAAATCATAAATATAAATAATAAAATATTTATTTTATTTAACAAGAACAATTTTAATCTATAAATAAATAACGGTATACATAAAATCTTATTTGACAACTCTAAACTAATACTATCTTATAAATATTATGTGCCAATTAAATTTGAAAGTGTTAAATTTGAAGACATTCGTGTAATACTTATTATTTAAAAAGCATAAACTTGTCTCGTTGTAGTGACTTAATGCTATTGCATCTATACTTACTACTAGTGCCATAATAATGGCCAGAATAGAGAATACAGTTAGAAAAAGATTTCATTACAAACGGTCTCCCATTATCCCGTAATCTAAGAGTAATTCTAAGTCAGTCTAGTGAGAATTAAAGGTAGGGTATATACAATTAGGTAAAACGTGCATTTGTGAGGTAGAATCCGGATTGGAAAGGAATTAAAAAGGCTATAAGGAAAGACAGACACGATGGTAGGTCAGAAACTCTTAAGACTATATTTTTGATTCATGAATCAAACTTATTTTATCTGCTATTTGCAATTTTACCTATTTAAATTAATTAATATATGAAACATAGTTTGAGTTAGTTATTATTTATTTATAACAATTTAGAACTAAAGTAAATAATATTGAGATTTTGTGTTTTTATTAAAAACAAAATCCATTGACACGGTTTTACAAATATATCATCTGTAACTGTTTTCATCGAAGTGAGATAAATATTAAGTATTATTTAAAAAATAACCAATCTACTAAAATGACTAATAATCGGATTTCTCAGCGATTATTTGTTAATAACATAGAATATTTAATATTATTAACGATGCTAATCATTTAAACTGAGTAATTGAAATCGCGTCCTACATTAAGAATACTTTTCTCGTCAATATAAGTTTAAAGATAGCTCTCAGAGAAGTCTAAATCCGAGACTGAGGCTCGTGAAGAGCGCGTATAGTTGGTTGACGTGCCGTAATCTGAGGTTGCTGTCGCCAGGTCTGCTACTACCGTACCTTGAGTCACACCATCAGCAGCGGCTGCTTCACGCTCAGCTAACTTCTGTTTCAGCACTCGGATTCTTTCTTCTTTCTGCAGTTACAGACTCAGATTAGACATAGATGCTATCATAACATTCATATATTTTTATCACATAATTAGAATTAATACTTTGAAGGACTTACAAGCGCCGACCCCTTCGTTTGCGTTCTTACTGTTTCTACCTAGTTACTAATTGAGAATGTGAATTTATGTTTAAGAGTGAGAGGTCTTTCTCATTTAAAAGGTACAGCCTCAAATATATGTTTCTTGCAATATTATATTTAATTCTTCGTTCAATAATTTATTCAGCAATAGTTAATAATGTTTATTTGCTATGAGGTGCAACTTTTATTTTCCTTTTGTACAGATTATCACTTAAAATGAAGTATATGGTTATCAACACATTTCTTGAATATTTTTCGATAAGGATGTTGATAATTTTATCCGGATTCTAAAGATTTCGTTAAACAAAGTCTTTAATTCTTTTGTATTATCGGTGAACTCGACTTTTATGTAAAATGTTAGTAATAATTAACTATCGAGGGAATGAAATTTGTTCAATTTCTTTTAATTATAAAGAATTACACATAAAATTGGTGTATATTTTATTACTTTATAAAAAAACTTAATTGAAATATCAATTTGAATAATAATTATGAAGCGATAAAAATTTAATTGCTTCAAAAAAAATTGTTGAGGAATGTACAAGGAAAATTGTTCAGCTTTTTTCGGAGAACAGATGAAAACAATTATATGAAGGAATTGTAAATAAATGAACGTTAGACGACATTCACAATCAGCGGTGTCATCTTTATGGTATAAGTGAAGCACGTTTGCTGTAATAGCGCATTACGGAGGTACTTTATCGTACGGAACATAACATCTACGAAAGATGTTTGTACCGTACTTTAATCTAAGCGGTACTTAACTCATTTATTAGAGGCATAAAACTGGGAAACTAATTGTAGGTACGCGTTGCTACGAGTATATACACATACGAAAAATGTCTAAGAAACTGGACAGAAAAAGATTTAAATTTGATAAAAGATAGGTCGATTTCCTTTTAGGCTTAAATGCTAAGGTACTAAATAATTCTGTGTACAAAACCAAGGTTGAAAGAAACACGGGTAAACTGAAAAAAATGTACCTCAAGTCGACCAGGAACAATATATCTTTACGTCAAACAAGCAGCTCAACTATAAGTAGGTCTATTTTATATCAGACCTTAACCTAAAACTGTTGGCTTTGGCCCAGAAGAGGTAATATTTCGCAGCAGTCACCAACACCGTTGGCGCTAAAACTCAATAAACTAAATTGAAACGCTTTATCTAATGTATGAAAAATGTCAAAACGTCACCCTGTCAGTGTATTTATTATATACACCTGAGTTCAATTTTAATCCATCTCAATATTCTATACTTTTTGATTTGACCATTTTGGTAGTAACATTTTATATTTGAAATATGTGCCCAATTTATTAAGAATTATTTAAAAAAGTTGCAGGGTTGTTTAGGTTTTGTTCTGAAATCTAATTTAAAGTTTATTTGTTCATTAATAAACGTTTTATAATATGTATAAATGTTCTGGAGCTGCCATGATTTTTATATTTAAGGTGGATTATACACATGATGCAGCATTTTTCAGTCTCGTTCATTATAAAAATGTTTAAAAAACCATTGAAAATTTTCATAACAAGCTAACTTTTATGATAAAACAAAAAGTAATTATGGACTCATAAAAAGATATAACAAAAACTGGCACCGAAATATTTAAATATACCATTAAAAGTTATTACCTGTGCAATAAGTTTCTGTAGTTCTTCGTTCTCCTTCACAAGCTCCCGGTATCTCTCCTCATCGGCTGGGGCGGAACCAGAGCCTGAACCGCGGCCGCTCTCAACACGTTCAGTGGGATGGCGGATAACTTCTATTACCTGTTCAACGAAAAACATCAATCAGATAGATAGAATAACATGTTTTATAATTTCTCTAAAACCTTATAATAAAAAAATATACCCATATACATATTTTGTTCACAGTTATAGATGTAGAAAGTAGACACACGCATACAATATACAGTCTCAAAGATGTTATCTTATATTGTAAAGCTGTAGTATTAATATAAAACAAGTGAAACATTTGAGATATACGTGTAAATATATCATAAATTGCTTATAAAATACCTGAAAATATAATGCTATCAACTTACTAATACCATAATACCGAAATTTGTGAGAATGAACGGATTCATGTAAGCTGGTGTAGATGTTTGTTGCGCTTTCACGGAAAATAGATTTAAATATTTTCGCGAATCTATATAGAATGTAGATTAAAACTCAAAACGAGAGATAAACTATTATTTATCATAGAATTCCATGAAGTTTTTGTCGGATTTACGGACATAAAAGTTATATTTTCCATGAAGTTACGTGAAATGAATTATCGATGTCGATGACGTGTGGTTAACATGTCCATTGTTTTAATATATTGTATACATTTCAATCTATGCCCAATTTCGAGGCTCATTCGGAAAAGTTTACGAGAAAATAATGTATTTGCATATATGTATGTATTTGTGAGACGTTTAAGTTGTTATTTTTTTATATCTATTTGTAAGTATTTAAGGAATATATTTAAAAAGATTAGAATAAAATTATTTAAAGTCAGAGTTTAGGGAAAAAAATCTTAATACATTTGCTAGATTTATTTTACGATGAGTAAATTACGAAAGTCGTAAAATTTTAGCTTAGAATTTCTGTATCTCAGAATTACGCTTTCTAGACCATTAAGATGGGAATAATGTTGATCACTTAAAGTATTCATAATAATGAGATGATGTTTAAAGTTATGAAATTAATTTATATTCCTGTAAAAATTATTTATATAATTTATGACAAAAACTAAATACATATATAAAGGTACTTGAAACAGAATTATTTTAGAAGTAATGAAGTGCAAAAGTAAACTTTAAATTTTTAAAACTAATGCCTAACATATATAATACATATATGTACTTTTGATTCAATGTAATGAACAAAATTTTATTTTATTAAAACACCAACTTATACAAATTCCTTGCCAATAGATTCTTCACCCTATTACCAGTAACGAGATCGTTTTATTTAATGTTTTTATCATGACCTTAACATTATGAGCAAATGTTTTTTAAATTTGATTTTGATGTAGTTCCTTTTATCCCTTTCGAGGTTTTCCTCTAACGAATTCATTAATAATATATAAACCCATATAAAAGAGACTCTTTGAAATGAAATAAATATATACGGTATAGAAATACAGCTTCTGTGATCTAATTAACAAAACAGCATTGTAAAATAATATTATAGATAAAAGAACTTGAATTAATGAGCTAGTGTTCTGGGTATTTTACAAAGTTTAAGTTATAATTGAAATATTTTCGAGATATTTTCTGATAAAAATAATAAGCAAAAAACGTTCTATTGATTAGAATTTAATTAAATTCATTTAATTTTATTTTTAACCCTCAATAGTCATGGACAACTTTTTATGGGTGTGTATTTTTTTATAACATGGTTGACCATAAACAGAAGTGACATTTTACATTCAGCGTCTTTTAAAGAATATAATATTTGATTAATCTTTTGTATCGGATGTTTAAAAATTAAAAAATATATGTATATATATTTATTAAGAATCGTAATTAAAATACATGTTGAGATGGCATAGAATAGAAATGTGTGATATTAAAAAAGTCATGATCTAAAATTGAGGACGAAATTCTATCAAAAATATAACATACTTTAATTACATTACGACATATCAAAGTTAAACATTAATCAAAACCTACAAGCCAAATTGGGGTGGTAACAACAAAAATATTCCGTGACTATTTACAAAGAAAAACAAATGTGTACGTTTTGTAAAGATTTATCTTATTACGTACAAGTGAGACACAGCAAAATAGAGGAATAATGTTTACCCATCCCAAAATATTATAAAGAAAAGGGCAAATGTGACTTATCACTAAATGTGTTGGTACATTGGATGCTGTAAAATTAATTCGAAACGGATTTAAATGACCTGAATACTTTCATTGTATATTACAATAAAATGTAGTATACTACTGAATTTTATACTATTTCCTGACTAATAAAATATACATCCATCTTAAAATTTCTTAAAGAACTTACTTTTTAAATTGAATAAATAATTGGATTACGTTGGTAGGATGACATTATACATGCACTCCAATTTATTGCGAAGACTTATGTCAGCGAAGTCGTTTCAAAAGAGCACTTAGACTCAGTGAGAGAACGTTATAAACTTTTTAATAATTGAAGGAAACTTCAACTTCCATTATCTTAAGCTTATTGTAACAAGTTAAGTTGGTAATGAATCGTGATTAACTTTCTTTGCATCTTATTTCCCATCGCTATATATTTCTGAAGAATCGAAGTTTTAATTTTTTTACCGAGTGTAATTATTAACAAGAAAATATATTGAATATAAAGATAGATTTAACATACTTAAGCCTGTTCGTCTATAAGTTCTTGCATTGTTATTCTTACTAATACTTTCATTGTTGGCTTGTTTTACAAAAGAAAATGGCTACAAAAGTAATTTTTTACTACTTAGTTTAAATAACGTTTACACAAACTATCATTTGAAAAATATCATTTTCTATAAAGTTTCTTATCTCTCTTTAATAATTTTGATTTTATCATAGTCCCCAAAACGAGGACTAAACCAGTCCCATTTATTTCTTAAACTAAGTCATGTTTTCACATAAATGAAATGCAATATATACTTGCTTATTATACACAGGCGCGTATCTAACGCTGCAAAGATACTTACTTTAAAAACTAAATAGAAAAAATCACAACTTACATTCTTGGCTAGTGCTGCTGAACATTCAACTTAAATGCACTTTACGTGACATTGCTATTCGATAACAGAAATAGTTTTGGAACTCACCTTCGGTACAAATATAAGTGCCATGCTTAAAAAGCAACAGAAGACAATTGCGAGTGACACGAACGCGAAGGCGGCATCCTGTTGGCTCGCTATCACAAGGGTGACAGGTGCCGTGATGAGGCATAGCACCACCACGTTGTATATACTCATGCCAACATATCGAGAGTCATTGATCTGACGTACTTTTACAGATCGGGTTTCGTAGGCCAGGAATAGTCCGAAAACTAGGACAAGACCTTTATAACCATACATCACGCCTGAAACAAAGGTTTTTAATTAACAATTATGTTTTAAAGTTTATTAATTTACTTACCATTAAACAGTTCACTTTCAAAAATTACAATTTTCTGAAATATCATGTTAATACATTCAAATAAATTTTGTTTTCGAACAAAAATCACTGTGAAGGTAATTCTTTGTACCTCCACTTTCACTCATTACAAGTTAAGCAAACTTTTGATTTCAGAGCATAAATTTGCTGTCGAAAAAAATATAAATGTTAAACAACGCAATGAAGTGAGGCAGATGTGATTAACAACTCGGAAGTTTAATTTCATTTCGAAGTTGGGAACGCAAATGACGCGGTGGACTTTGAAGAGAATTGATTATATATTCCTTACATTTACGATAGAAATTGTAATCTTTTTATGACAACAGATTGAATTATGTTGTATAATTAAAGAACATTCACGGCTGCTCCGTATAAACTTGTTATAAAGGCGAACAAGATACGGTGAAGTTTATGTAATTAAGCTAATAAACCGCTAATTGATTAAGTCTCTTCAAGATAAAGCATATTCATTAAATTATGTATGTAAAATAAACTTCATTATAGATCCCTTTTAAAGGTTTATGGCTATCAAAATTTCAAATACGGTGTTTGATTTCAAAATAAAAATAAATCTTTTTAAGGTTGTTTTCTTACTTTCACTATAATATAAAATGTTATAATGATCTTAACCCTTTTCGAGCCTGGTTGTAATTGTATACCTCAGTCTGAACCGTCGTTTAAAACTTTTGTATAAAAAGGTGAAAAAGCGAGGCTTAAGAAAGCTATTTCAAACCTTTGCTTCAAGTTTAACAAATGTTTCAAAGTTAAAACAAAAATGTCACATAGCAAATTTTCTTACACTTTAGGAATTTACGTTTTTTAACACAACAATGTAAACTATTTATTATTAAACTTAGCAATACACGATAATGTCTTTAAAAATATAGTTAATAAATGAATTACGTTTTAAATTGTATGTACTTATAATTTTTCAGGATATACACAAAACTCACGGATAATATGTGTTTTGAACAACACATGTATTGCCTTTACCATCAAATTTGTGATCAAGCTTGACAACGTGAGAAACTCTAATTTACGGAGTTATGTAAAAAGTTAAATTAGTTTGATCGTTAAGGCTATTGTCTAAAGGGTGCACATCGGTGACATTTGTATTCATATAGTGTGTTCGTGGTTCAAAAATAAAATTTCATCAGAGGTCCGAACCGTAACTGCAAGCGAGATAGCGGTGTCAGCTGTGATTAAAAAAGTTATCAACTCCCGTATTGTCACGTTTTCAGTATAGTTTATGCTTTGGGCAAATTTTTCGTATTTTTGAGCGGTTGGCTAGTGCAAATTCGTAGTTGAAAAATTGCACTGAATATATCAGCTTACACGACTAGATGTCTAATTGGATTTCAACTATTTTGGCTTGATATTTTTCAAATTGTTTTATTACATTAATATTATGTTCTTAAATATTAAATACGCAGTAAAGAAAGTTAATATTTAATGTAACTCCAGCCCTTCTCTAGATTTCAATCCGATGCAATTTGATTGGGCTTTAATAATAATTTTAAATAATGTTGAATGTATCTTGAATAAATAGTATTAAGAATATCATTGCTAAATTAAATATATTTTGACATTGCTCCATAATACTTACCTAGCCATACAGTATTATGTTCACTCTCGCAGTGTTCAAGCTCAGGTCGTATGTGTACATCATCATCATGATGACGTGGTGCCTCTAATGGAAATATCTCCACCCGCCTTTGTAAAGGATCCCTCAACTGCCAAGCTGTTAACAACGTTATGTCCACTAAAAGTAGACCTCCCACCATCGTATATAATTTCCAGCCATGCATACGTTTCTGGGAACAAGTTAACTTTGTTTAGATTTTAGAATTATAGCGTGCTTCATATATAATTTTACTATTAGCGTATTAGTTCTTTAATAGGTTTGTAGTTTGCTACTGGTGACAAGTGTATCTATGGGGTTGAATAGTTTTATTAGTCGTTATTTATTTTGTGGCTCAATATATTTTTCTTATTAATCTATAAAGACTGCTTTCATTTTCGTCGTAATGGCATTCACTTTACGCAATATACTTCATGTAAAGTTCTGAAGCAAAACCGGTGCATTGAACTGCAACTTTTATAGTGACCTATATTCAAATAATTATTATATAACACATCGCACTAATTAATTACCGATCGCCAGATAATTTAGAACCTGCAAATAAGAATTTTTGTCATATAAATTTAAATGTCCATGTTATTTAAGCATAGAGCTTCTTAAATATAATCACAATTATCATCTTGTATTTACGTTACATTTTAATAAAGGACACTATTCACTGTCGTTACAAAATTAACATTATATTTATACTAATATTATAATATTTTGTATAATATCAGTTCGACCATTTTGTGCTTTGTAAAATTTTATTTTAGAAGAGATTCTGTTGTCCATCACAATATAAGGAACCTCCAAAGTTTCAATATTTGAATTAAGTATTTGAACAAATATCTTGTTTGTGGCATAATATTTCAAGCTTAAAAACTATGTGCGATTTTAAGGGGAAAAAGTTACGTCATAAATGAGAAAATAATTACTGTGAAACAGAGAAACTTTCTATGTCGGATACAAACTGTTTTTTGATTAAACTTTTTGTACTGTCCTGAAAATAAATGGTGTATTGCATCGTTAGATATTACGACGGTCTGAAGACTTTTTATTACATTATACAAAGTGTAAAAGACACATGCAACTAGATCGTAGCCTTTAAAATTAATAATAAATTCTCCTTTGTTTTATTAAACCCAAAATATAAATAAAATGTTTTGTGGTCCTACTAAAATTATACTTGGACTAATAGATACTTTGTCTTCAATATTTGGGGTTGTTTATTAGCTTTTTAGAATGGCCTTTTCAGTCCAACGATTTTAATGAGCGACTCAGAGCAGGGGACACGGCTCGGAAGAGTAAAAGCAATTACTGTTAATCTTAGTTTGTTTATATTCAGTTAGAGAGGCATTTAGAACCATAAAAGTCCAGCGGTTAGAATATTTTATACGTTATTCAGAACGCAAACCTGCGTTAATGGCTTGTTTTGTGATAAATAGTCCATGTTATCTCGATCATAAACTATGTAAAATGTTATTTAAATTTATCCGGCAGAAGCGAGATTACTGTAGCAAGACCGGTAAACAAGTTGACAAATTGTTTATATTAATATAAAGGACGAAGATTCTGGTAATTTTTATTATTTACAGAGATAAATTTGACTATATAAATAAAGTTTTTGAGTATATAAATACTACCGAATATTTTTTTGAGAAGCTTAAATATTTCGATTAAAATATATACATATATATTTGAATTTTATAAGATAAACTTTGGGACTATATAACAGGAGTATTAAAAAAACTTTTGCATGTCTGTTGCATTATAATATTTGTAAATATGATTTAGTAGAACTAAACTAAAATATAATTGCATTTATTTACTAATTATAGAGATAGTTAAATCATAGCCTAAGTTGAACCATCCTCACATTAACGAGGACACAACAAGTTATTTAAAATGTTTGTTGTTATTCAAAATTGATATTTTGAAAACAATTATTATCACACTTCCATTAAAACTATATGTTATACAAATTCAATATTTAATTGCTTACATACATAATATCATGTCAGAGAACAATGCGGTTCTTGTATCAGCATAAATTGTGTGAAACGGATATTCTCCCTAGATTTATGGGTTGTATTGACAAGAGGGGCACCGCAGCGCCAAGCGCGTGTATTTATTTTGTTCATATCTTGTGAAAAGCGAACTGGTCTGTTGGAATAATGTGTCAATATACAGTATGAAAATCTTTACTGTGCTGGGTTTTTAATTGCTATAAATTTGTGCTATTCAAATAAAATATAAGCTCGTATTTCAATAATTATTTTGTATAAAATATCCCGTACATTTATTCATTTTGTTAATGATAATAAAGAGTACAAGATACATTTTAAATGTTTCATCCGAAAAAATCCATTAGAGAACCTAAACCTCTCAACTGTTGATCAAATTTGGGAAAATATATAAGCTTTCCAGAAGTAAATACGAGTATAAAAACAGGAATGTACCATATGGTTCTTTTTCAGTAAAAATATGGCGTTTGTAACATCAGATGTTTTTGTAATTTTGCAAAATAGATCACATCACTATTTAAATTATATGCAATATATCCGAGACAAGATTTGTGAATGAAAAAAACTTTCTTATAATTTTTGTAAATTTTATTACCTTAGTCTCCGGTTTAGGCTTCGTCGTGTGTCTGTGGACACGCCAGACTTTCGTGAACATAGCTCCATATGCCATCGAGAAGCCAGTGGCTAATAGCCAGGACCTGGCTGCGCAAAGTCCAGGGTAGTGTTCAGGCTGAACCCACCGTCCATCGACACCGAGCGCTATGGCGGCTCCGAAACAGATGCAACATCCACAAAGCATCACTGTGTTGCACGCGGGATGCGACCATTGGATAACCCTGGTAAATTTATAATTATAATCATGAAATTCAAGACATATAATTTAATAAGTCGGTATTTTACCCTAGAATATATTAACAATTTAATTTCCATAAATCTATTATACTATTCTTCACGCTTTATTTTGAGTTAGTTAAGAAAATTTTAAATTAATAACGTTTAAAAATAACAAATACCTAGAGAGTAAAATGATTTATTATAAATAAGATAAGAAATTTTATAACATTCTTCTTTTAATAAAACAGAAAGAAAGTTGGACCATAATTGGATACTTGAGCCAACTTGATTCAATGCTATAATGCGATTCTAGATAAAACTCGCGATTTATACATTTTATTGAAATTTTAAATGAATCTTAAATTTCTCTGCTATAGCGAGAAAAATATTGTAGATAGAAGGAGAATAGTGCATATGGGATCTACAGCAAATAATATGTTTGGAAAGTACAATACATTTTCGTTTTTTTCAACGTTACCTTCTATGTCGATGGAGAATATTGAATACTATAAGTCCAATGGCTGCCAATATGCCCGCTATACAAAGAGCCGTCATGCAAGCGAATAGTGGCAACGAGACCGTTCGTAACTCGTTCACCACCACGGTTCGATCAGGCGGAACTTTACCACCTGCAAAATTATGAAACATTAAAATGCGTATCTTAAAATGTTTTTCTTATCGACAACTACTATAGTGTAAAAACAGAGTAATACATATACCATTATCACTGTCGTGGTTTATAATTCTAAATAAAAATAATGTATTTAATGTGTTAAATTACATTTCTACACGTATACTTCACAGCGATAAAAGTCTGGAGATGTTAAAATCATGAACAGGTAACATATAAATATACATTTTAACGGTTTGAAAACTAAATGACTTAAATCAGAACTTTCAGAAAGAAACATCAACATTGTAACTACGTAAGTGGTAGTGGCAATAAAAATTTCTCTGTCCCATCGTAAAACTTCTGTCGTAAAACCATTGCACCTACGACAAAACTTGTTATTTAGTCTTATTTTTAAGTGCAAAACTACATATCAGTATCGTTAAAATACGTAACCGTAAACAATTTTTGTAATATTAAATAGTAAATTGCAATACGCCTATTTAGCCTCATTTTATCTTTTTGTTGAGGTCTTTATAAGCGTTATATACATATTTCTCAGACAAAGGAATTATTCTACATTTTGTATTTTCTTGCTACCTTTTACTCGCACGACCGCTTTTAATCATCCTTTTAATGATTTCTTTACCTAAAGATAATAGTAATTCTTAATTTACTAAATGAGAAATAAACTCATAAAGAAAAAATGTACGTGAATTCATATGAAGAAACAAAATGATATTAAAATAAAATATCATTTATTATTTGGAAATTGTTAAAACTAGTCGAAGATAAATGTAGACTTAGCGTTTTATTTCGAAAAAAATATAAATATAAAAAACACCTTACATGAACAGTTATTAAAAAAGTTTTTTAATAAATACACCTTTAAAACTTTGTACATCAGTAGCGTTGTTTTCCATTTATCTAATGTACTGTTAATTGAATGAGATGAATCGAAATTAAAATGTTCGTTGAGCTATTTGGCTAATCTCCAGAGAAATTTCTGTTTTAAACAAAACTGAGCGTAAATTACTCTTCTTAAATTCTTAATGACGGTCCGGTAGTATCGTCAAAAGATAAAATCCTGGAGCGCCAACACGAAAATGAATTAAAAGTTGCTTTCATTTTGTCTATTCTGATTTTTACGGCATATTTACAGAATTCACTGAGTTATTTAACTATGTTTCCGATGCATAATATTTGGAAGTGCTAACCGCAGAGTTAGTTACGCTTCACCAATTCAACCAGTGTATTAGTCTTTACATAGAAAATACCGCACGTTAAAACGGAGTTTATCTACTCTGTATACTGCAACCTTGTATGCACTCTCCGTTGGTTCTATGAAATTCTATCAGATTATACATAGAATTGAAACTGTTTGAATTTTGTTTTAAGTTAACAAGATTTTACATACGGCTTTAGATTTTTATTTTAATATAGAAGTCGATTGCCTGCAATGGCAAAACTGAAGCTTATGCTGAAAACAATAAAGTTACTTACCGACCCACCGTTCCCTGTCTAACCAGGTGAGATTATCCGCCTGTGTATCATAGTATCCCAACTTAATGTAATGGTTATCTGTCAACTGCTCTATCTGTGTTAGCGCTATGCGATCACCTTGAGACGAGAATGCTACTAGACCCTAGAGAAATATTAGATAAGGATGTCTTATTAAAGGCTTTATAAATACATGTGAATATTCTCTCAAAATTTTATGAACTGCATGTGAAATATGTTAAAAATTATTAAGAACTAAGGATCGGTAAATGAAATAAAAATTCATTGATGCGCAACAATGACGTTGCTTAATTTTTTTTAAAGAAAATAAAAATTCAGGAACCACGTCTTTTATGTTAAAATTATAATTAAATTATAATGGAAAATATTAACTTTAGATGCCAACAGTGTTTGAAAACGTATTGTAGATATTTTGGTATTGTATCTGTTCTAGAATGCATATCTTTTAATATTAATTCTGTTTGTGTCTATTAAAAGAATCAATTTTTTTAACACAAATAATATTAAAATGTAAACATTATATATTATAGTTACTTTGAGAACATGTATTTTTATTAGAAACTTATTGACTCTACGGGGTTATTATTTAGCAATTATAAAATATCCATATTCTGTTCAGTTTTTAACTGTGTAATAAAGAAGTTAATTTAATAAGATGTCCTGAATCTAAATACATAATTGTATTACCTCGAAGACTACCGTATAAATGTGTGCATGCCTTGTGAGGGATTTAATTTTAAGATAATACGGAATATAACAGAAGACTCACCGATACTCCCAGAAACGATGTCGAGTTTATTGCTTCGTAAATGTCGTCAGCAATTTTCTTATTGGTATACGTAAAATTTTTTAAACTTAACCCACTCTTTTCTAGCTTCTCCATTGTTTTATTAAAAGCTACAATATACATTTTATTAACATCAAGAAACAAGTAATATTGCAAAAGATAATACATGATGACGTAAATATTTAGAAAGTAGAACTTTATGTTCAGTCTCAATTTCAGTAGAAAAAGGATGGAATATTTCCTCATTTAATTTACTTTGTATTCATGAGTTACCTAAGGCGACCGCCCAAACCGCGTCATAAGCTAAAGGGGCCTCCTGATACCCTTCAGGAAATCTCTCTCCGTCGATATCGTAGCCGGCTTCACGAAGCGCTTCGTTTAGCCGCGATCTGTTAAGTAATCAATCATTTAATATTCTCATTGCTTTGGCATTCAAAGCGTACACATATTTTTGTAGCTTATAACATATTCTGTTCTCCCTCAATGAACAAGTGTTGCGTTTATAGTTTTATTTTGGAATGTCCAAAAAAACGTTTTAGAGAGTTTAACTTTTACAATTTTATAAAATTTTATAAAGGCTTTTGCGAACTTCGCACGGAATTCACGATGGCTGAAAAATGTTCTCCGTTTTACTGTTTTTCAGGAATGTTGTTTAGACAAAGGGATGTTTTGTAAAAATTCCTTCTTGATGAAGTCACATAGCGATAAAGTCATGTAGTGAATTGAGGTATCGCTGGAGGCTTTCAATTGAATGTCGCTCGTCAAAGGAATGGAATATTATCTCTCAACGCGTAAAAGTTGTGACAAGCGGTTTTATTCGGGATCCGACCACATAAATGTTTCTCGCCCTTTTTCTCAATCCGTACAAAAGAAATCGTTGTCACATAAAATTGGGTTTTGCGACATCGCTTTTCAGATAAATAAAAACAGTAAAGGATAAGAAAGAAATTGTAGGTCAAATCAAAAACTCCTAAAACTTCTTCCTAAAAGAATGTGATCCTTGTAATCATTACACCATGCATTGGACAATAAAACAAATAAGACATTTAAATATTTCTTAAAAAAAAAAATACTGTTTAAGATGAAATAAAAACCTGTTTTAAACTTAATGGTTTGTTTTTGAAATCCTACAGTAACAGGATTTTTTATTATTCATTATTGAATTATTTTTCAATACTTGTCGACGGTCAAAACTCATTTTAAGGTATTTTTGTTATGGTTATAATACTAGTGTATTTGTTTAAATAATTGTACATTTTCAATTTGCCGTGTACTTATGTATTTGTAAAAAAATTAAAACGGAATAATAATAAAAAGAGGTTATTCAACTTTTTAAAGAAATATTGTGATTGCAATTTACATGCGTTAAAAAGTATCAATTAGTTGATAAATAATGAATTAAAATAGTTTATTTTAATTATAAGAATAATTTAGCTATTATAGAAAACTAAACAACATTACATACCTAAAATCTTCCGAAGTCATGCCAGATATTGTGGTCTGGTTAGCATTTTGGTTCCACATGAGTGCTTCCGTAGTGAGATGACCTTCCGCAGCCTCCCGCATCTGTTCCGCTGTACACTCAATACCCTCTCTTTCTAAATTGGTTTCAAACCAATTATCCTCATACCATCCTATATAAAATGAAATAATAAACGTAATTATAAAATTGTTGTACTTATATTATGATATCATGTCGTATATTACATTTAAACGTAGTTATATCTCTTCAATTAGTTTTGCCTTAATATAATATTAACAAAAAATACTTTTTATAAAAAGCAGCATTAATTATTTTAAAATAGATCAAACAAATATGATGTAAAGGAAATATTCTTTACATCTCAAAACAAACTGGAACAAGTGTTTGGACGTCCTTTATTTAAATTGCTCTTGACTTTTGTATAATATCTTTGTAAACAGTGGGTGAAATTTTTTGTACCGCAATTTAAAATTTCAGCCGTTTCATACTTTACGGATGTCAAAATTTTAATAAGTTAAAAATGGAAATAATGTTTTATTACGTGTAATAGAGGAGCATGCAAAAGAAAACACATAATTTCTGAGTCAACGAATGTGTCGATTATATTTATGTGAAGTGATCTCTTAGTAGGAAATTTTATAGGATGTAATAAAGTTTTATGAAGGATGGAAAAGATTTTGGAAGCCTACGTCGTGGTAAGACATCGATAAACTGAACAGGCATGTAATTTTTGGATTCAAACCAAATGATTCAGTATCTTTGATATTGAATTCAAAGTTTATAACATATTCTATAAACACATCTGAAAAAATTAATTTCTTGGTAATAAGATTGTATATAAATGTCGTACCAATATTATGTCTATAATATATTAAAATAAAAATGTTGAAGCTATATATTTGGATTCCGTGCTCTTCGAAAATTAAATCATCTTTATAATTATGAAAGATTAAAGTCAAGAATAAGAATATAAATCCCTTGCATTCCTGTTAAAAGGTTAAAAGTGTATGAGAATTAAATTTTCATGATGTTTTCAGTTGCATAATAGAATATTTCTCATGAGTAATATAAATATTTATGTTGGTTATGAAAAAGTTAAAATAAGGAGCTTAATAACATTACCGTCGTCTTATAAGAAATATATAAGAAATATTATATCCTGGTGTGCAATAACGTTTTGATAAATTACAGTTCCCATATGTATGTTGCTTTGTAACCACGTAGTGGTATGTGTTGAAGTGTCTTTCCTACATTACTAAGACTCCCTTTTATTTGTAAACAAAAAGAGAATAATTATGCTTAAACAAAGACAGTGGAGATTTACAGCAAAACTTTTAAAATAAACATTTCTCAGAAAGTCAATTATCCAAGGTACCAGAAATATAATTTTTATGTTTTTTTTTTATTGTACTTTACGAAATATTAAACATTATATTATGTTATAATTTTATTACAGTAGATACAATTTTTTTTAATAAAGTTGTTACTACGGTTAGTAGTTACTAGCAGTAGTAGAAAAGTTACTACTAAAGCTATTATTACTTGATAAAAATGAGTTATATATACAAATAATAATACTGCAAGCGATCGACCGACTTCTATACATAAAAAGTTATAGTTATTGAAGAAATATGCTACAGATTTTTTTTTTATTTAAACAACAGAAGAAAAAGTAATCTATTTAGAACGTTTGAGTTCCTGTATGTTTTCTACGTATCGAGCACAAATTATATGGAAATGAAAGCCGTTTTCATCCATTTATTATTAGTGATGTAACTTAAAATATAGGTCGCATTCTACCACTATAGAATATTTTATTCCTAGCACGTAAATCTATTCCACGCTAATAAAGTCGAGCGCAACATCTAGTAAGAAAATATCGTTTTTCATATATTACTTATTCATTTTGTATAAGTAATAGTATGTAGTTTAATTAATGTTTAGGTTCCATTCATTATCGTAATCACGCAAAAAATAATTATGAGATATAAACTAATTAAAACACCTTTACATTTCTATGGTTTTAATTATTTTAAAATATTGGTGAAAAATAAGATTTCCTAAACATACGAGTTGAATTTCACAAGTCTTCTAACTTTGTTAATGTAGTTGCTGGGCATAACTGTATTCTTGATATTTAGATTCATTTATCGATAGTATTCGTAAATAAACCAAATCAAATTAAAAAATACAAATCATCACATAAATGAAGAAGTCATGAGCTTAATTTATAAAAAGCATAATGTCAAATCGAGGAATTGTATTGAATGTCAATACAAAAAATATATATTAACATTTAAATCAGATTTATTTTCGCAAATCGTCGTAAGTCATGATGTTATAAACAAAAAAACAAGAGAAAACAGCGAACAGAATACAAAATAGCCGCGACAAAGTCCCCAAATTAATAGTAACAAATAGCCATTTCCTTGTTTGTTTATGTTATAAGCACGGTGAAACGGAAATGGTATTGCGGCTTTGAGGGTTTTGTTTGGCTTTTAGCTCCAAATACATATGTGCTGTTATGCATCGAACACATATACATATATAAAATGTAGTGATATATTGTTTAAAACGAATGTTTAGTTTATAAACATATATAAATATCTTGAAATTGGTTTTGAATTTAAAATAAGAAAATAATAATATAAAAGTATGAATTCAATAAAACTATATTTGTGAATGTAACTCTAAAATATTTATTTAATTTTGATCACTTAATCCGGCGGTTCAATTGCTTTAGTTATGTAGCCCAAAGTTCATTACTTAAACGTGATACAATATACGCTAGTTGGATTACGTAGAGTAAAAAAATCCAGTACGAAAACAATGACGAAAAAAAAATTAAATATCTGTTCCCATTTGAAAGATATATGAATATTTTTAATATGAGCAAAAAGAGGTAATTGTGAAATAAAATCTCATTTGATGCATTAATCGTCCAGATCTGACTCATTTAGCCAATTTTAGAAACAACTAAGTAATGTAAAAACTTTTTCCATTATAAAGCGTAAGAGCCTTAGATAAAATTAATTCTGCTGGCTTATGTCGATAATGAGACAGCAATCATAAAGCGGATCAATTAAAAATAGGCCATAAAAAATCTATAGATATTCGATTTGTTAAATTCTATTGAATCTTAATACATTGTCACACGATATTAACACTGTTTTCAAACATATATTTTCGGATGAGTAACGACAGAATAGACATTTGTCATTTCATTCGACGTTATTCAAGTAGAAAAGCGGGGGAATAGCTGATGATTAATGTAATATTAATCACGATTCTTGATGCTCATTTATCTCAAAAAAAAAACTTTAGTTTATTTACCGCTTTTAAGTAGTCGATAAAAGGTATTTGTATGAAATAAATACCCATTCATCTGGAAATGATTATTATTTCTAAGTTTTAGTAGAATCTATTAATTAAACAAAATATTTCTCAATATGTATGTGTAATATTTATGAGTCTTTGTCGTAGTTTATACGATCCTATAATAATAAATACAAAAGTTTGAAGGTTTGCTAACCAAGTAAGCCCGAGCTTAAAAAGTTTCACTGCGATTTGGCACAGAGACAGCTTATACCCTTAATTAGCATGTTTACCCCGATTATTCACCTGGGTAGAGAAGGGTCTCGCAACTTTATCACAGAAAACAATAATATTACAAACTATGTTTCGTATAAATAATTAAAGTTAAGCAATATTCCACATATTACTTAACCGCAAATCATATAATCCACTGCGTACTTTACGTATAAAATTAATTTATTATATCGTGTTCTTAGATGCCTGGATGCCCTATTTATATTAAAAACTGCTTAACAACGAAAATGTTACTTGTGTGCCATTAAAATGTGTAAGAAATAAAAAACAATAAATAAAGATCCTAATTATTCACATTTTTTATCTGGCATTGGTTGATTGATTTCTTAATTATAATTATATAACTCAAAAAGTTAGCAGAAAACAAACATGATTATATTTATTTAATATGTACTTTGACCTATTTTTGCTCTTAAATCTGGTGAACATTATATGGTGATACATGTAATGGTAGATAGAAGGTATGATTCAAAAAAACCAAAAAACTTTCATTACTTAAAAGCTGACTTGACGGATGGCTGAAAAGCAAATTGGAACAAACTCCTTATCTTTTCCAACTTCTTTGAATACAGATCACAAAATTAGTCAATAGGTTTATATATATTGAGATGAAGATTTTCTATGACAACCATTTTCATTTAGTTATGATTAGATTCAAAAGACAGTAATTAAGAAAAGAGTTAAATGGTTGTCAGTATTTCTGAAAGTAAATTTAAAATTAAAGACCGTTCGTTCACACTGCTATATACTAAATACTACATAGTTGCATTTTATTATTTAATACATTATGTCTTATACCAATGCGACTACTAGTAATTTATAGAAGTCAGATATCTTCCATTATAGAGTGAAATGAAACAGTTTGAGAATTATCGAATATATTTTTTTAAATAACTATAGACATTATTTATTGATGGCCTTTGTTCATTGATGAATGTTAAAATAAGCGTATTTAAGATGTGTAAATGTATTTTTTCTTGGATACATATTAAATAGCTCCGCACTCCTCTGCCATAACTTGCAGCAGCTAGCTTGTACTAGAAAGTCTATATCAATAATAAAATATACAATTTTCAACGTGAGTTATGTTACTTTTAATCACTAGTCATTTATCTAACGCGTACCATCGCGTCTTTCTTAATGTGGATTGATGGTAGGCTCTGATTGAACAACGTATGAGATAATTATCATTTATCACTTTTATCATTATTGCGGTTAAAAAGGGAAATACTTAGCGAAATATTCTATTATTTCAATGTAATTATATTTATATAGTAACCGTATTGATCATTAATTTATATAAACATTGATTTTTTCAAGTATTTTTTGTATCATACAAGTAAATTATAAGCACTCACTTCCTGTTTAAGCAGGGTTTTCATATACAATAAATTATTGGGAAAAAAAGTAGAAACATAAATTTGAATAGAAATTCCAGTAGTAGTTACGTAAATGAATTTTTTTTTTCAGGCTTATCGATTATGTCCGAATAACAAGAGATGAACAGATAATAATCATGAAAATCATTATTTCATTTTAATTTGTTGGAAGTAAAAATTTTGTTCGTTGCTAAGTGTTAAAGGATATAGAGAATACAACAACATATTGATATAAAGTAGAGAACATGAGTATCAAAGTAAAATTAATATGCATTATAAGATACAAAACTACAGACTGGAGCTAGTGATTGAATGTAATTAATAGTTTAACGCTGTGTTTGTTCTGTAATTGTTTGTTGAGCGGAGGTTATTTAGCTTTGTATCATATTGCGCTCGGGGCACGTGTTTGATATTTAAGTAATGAAGCTGTATACTAATTTAATAGCTAGCTTTGAATTTAATATTTACTTATAAATTTAATTTCAATTATATGTATAACAATAATAAATAAAGGGCTTGAACCTACATTATAATAAAATAACACAGAGAGCGAGTGAAAAACAAAACGAATTCATAAATTGAAGAAACAGCATATGCACTAAATAGAGTGCATATTTGTTCATAATCAAAATCATCCTCGTTATCTTTTCCTGTTTAATAAACGCAAAAGAAAGATGTGCTGATAAAGATGGAAAATACAACTTTGTGTGGGCGTGTGTGCTTTTAATTATTGATTATGTAACGCTCACAGTCATCTGTAAATTTAATAATATTTATGTAATCAAAATTATGGGCTAATGAAAGTTATTTAATGCCTCATTTATCTCTGAAATGGAAAGTTGATAGTTAAATTTCAAATAGCAATCTTACATTAAATAATTATACTAGCTATAACTTTCTACTGATGGTTCGTGACTTTTCATACGTGATTTACGCTAACAGTTAATTTTATGAACGAAATATAATTTGTTAAGGAAAAATTAATTTGTTATTTAAACATAGAATTATGCCATAGTAAAATTGTGTGAAATACTTTTGATTTTTGTCTTAAGATTCATGACTATATACTCATATTAATGGGACTGAGTCAATAATGCTTAATTAAGTTTAATATATAATTTTATAACAGCTGTAACCAGTAAATATACTGTTAATTTTAAAATCATTCTGTATTTTTCGTTGCGTGGCTTGTTTTCCTTAGTAATTACAAAAGTTATAATTAATTTTGTTTATAATTGACATTTGGAAACATCAGACAATGTCACAATGTCACTTAGCGGTTATAGATGAAATTTTCATTTACTGTGGACGTATTTCTAATTACTTTATATTCAAACTGCGAAACGTTTCGACGTTTTTTGTGTTTTTTGATTGTTGTTTTTATAAACCGAGGATGTTCAAAAATATTTATCGTTTAAACTCAAATGAGAATAAAAACATTATGTTTCTAGTTATTCATTGAAATTGTATTTTTCTAGGCCAAGTCAAAATATTAGGAAAATATTTTTATCTGTAAAAGATTCCTCTGAATTTGTATGGAGTGTTGATAGAAGATAATATTTATTTAAGTAAGTGACAGAGATCTGAATACTGGGTTGTAGTAAAATACACGTTCTTATCATTCGCCTCTGGGCTCCGCACTCGTATAAACTTTTCTCCTTTGTTTAGCGAAAGAGCAAAAGAAAATAATATATGAAAATACTTTAAATATCTGCAAAATAATGTTCAAAAAGAAAACATGACTTATAAATCAAAATCTTCCTTCAAATTAAATATTATATTCTAAATACATTTGAGGCATGATGAAATAATTATGGTTTTGCAGTCTTGCCCATTAATTATTTTACAGATTGTGTTCATTAAGCGAAAATATTATATTACTTTATCTATTTGCCTATATTTTCCATCCTTTTTATTAGACAGCGAAATCTGTATATAAATGTGATTTTGAAACATTAAAACTACATAGTAGTAAAATTTATAATGTCCGTCAATAAAGTGTGGGCTTTGAGCTTTAAGTTATAATATGAAATAATTGTAATCTTTATTTTTTATAGTTTAAAAATTATTTGTTGGCTTTATTACTGCAAAATCTAAAACAATTTTAGTTCAATGTGATAACAAAGACAGTCATTCCCTAAATTGTATATTCTTATAAACATTTGCTATCGTTTAATTAACACTCCAAACAACATCTTATTTTAATCAATGAAATGAATATTTGTTCTTAATATAATATACTGTAAAAAGGAAAATTATTTATCTTTGAGAGGCATTATAACTAACTATATAATAATCAGTTAACTATATTATGAATGAATTAAAATATATGATGTTAATATAAATTTTAATAAAAATGTAGTTCAGAAGCTTTAATGAAACAATTCAATACATTTAAGCAAATACGTATTCATTAAACGTTAATCTCGTTATTTACCTGCTTTTCACTTTTTGTTCACAGATTCATCAGATATAATAACATATGAAGCTTAAAATTTATCACATACACTGTAATGATATTGAAAGTATCTTTTCCCCTATGATATTAATTGAAAGTAATTGTCTGATATTTAAAAAAATATTCTCTCATTTGTATAAATTGTCTTGTAATGCAATTTTCTTTGGTATATAAGGATTATGAAATTCTTTACATTTAATCAGTTTAACTAATTTAATTGATACCAAACTAAATAGTATGACTTATTATTCACTTATCTAATATAAGAACGTTGATTTTACAAGTTTGACTTTTTAAGAGAATAATCGTCTTCATTAAAAATATATTCACATTTTCTGTACCGTATTTACAAAGAAGATAAACGAGTAACAATACTATTAAAATAAATACAAAGAATACTTGAAATATATCAAGAAATATGACTTCATTTGTTATGAGAGCAGTAAGTTTTTAGTTGCTCCATTATCTACTAAAAATAAAATTATTTTAATAAAATTGTATAAAATTATTTTAATGTATTTTGAAAGAAGGATCATAATCGGTTATAAAAGTAAACGTAAGTAAAAATAACTTTTGATCCTAAACCTTGGTTTCTTGGTAATAACACCAGTTAAGGAAGATTCCTATATTATTATGTTCACATTTCTGGTATTTTAAATTTGTAAAAGCGTAAATGACAAATATTTGACTAGACCATGAATCGTAGTTAATCATGATTCACGTGACTTGGTTAGACAGTTTATTGAAGTGAGAATAGGCACAAGAATAGGTCATAATAGAACACATTGTTTTAATGCTGTCTACTCTGAAGGTTGAAGTGTGGAATTACCTTTTATAACAGGTGTTGGAGTGTGTCATTACGCTTTGATATATCTAAGTAGCTGAACGTGGTGACAAATACATAAGACATAAAGTGTCTTAAAATTGTTCATATTACAGTTAATTATATTATCATAATCAAAAGCGTAAAGAGATTTACATAATAAAATTAATTTAGTGTTTTTGTTACATGTAACTAAAACATGTTTGTTTTTAATTTTATTCCTTAATAAAATAACATATTATTTTAAGTATAGTATAGTTCAACGATTTTTCTGATTTGGAAACCTCATCCGACGGAAGGGCGTCACGAAATATTAGTGTGGCCATAAATTTTAGTATGACGATCAATAAACCTATAATACTCCAATCAGATATATCTGGGAGTAAAAGTATTCAAACTAATAAGTATATCATGCGTATTTGTTTATGTTAATATGCAAATAATTTTTTTCCATTTATGCAAGGAGCAAAAGATGAAAATTAATTAGACTCATAGTTAAGAACAGCAATCCTAATAGTGTCCATTCATCACACAGAAAATAATGCAATGAAAATGAAAGCTTTTATCAGTATCATTTTCATTTTCATTTTAACAGTAACAAGAATAAAAAGATATCGTTAGACATAAGAAACATTAAATGAAAGAGCATTGGTCGCTTATATGGGATAGTCTTGCTCTAGATAGACGAAAGTAATGCACTTTTCTAATTTCTACCTATTTAAAAAATACTGTTTACAAAGATATTAAAAGATCGTTTTACCATCTCTGAGGCATATTCAGAAAGTACTAGTTTACATATAATGGACGTTTAGACTTATAAATAAATACTATAAACTTACCTATGAAAAACCACACATAGGATTTTCCGTACAGCTTATGTTTGTACACTTCACATAGTACTCTTCTGGCAGCCACTACGTAGAATAAACCAACAATAACTCTGGCATCTTGTCTGCGAAGGTTCCGAACTGCGTCGTTTGGATCTGAGAGAAAGGACTGTCGTGTCACGATCTCTATACCAGATTTCTTGCAGTGTGCTTCCAGATCCTCAACAGTCTGAAATATACATATAATTTTATTATATTTAAAAAACATCGTCTATGTGTTAGAAAACTATGAAAAACTGTTTTTCACTACAAAAATTACAAAATTGGGTCTTACATATGTAATTAATTTAAACTAAAACTATGGTAGCATAGGCCCTTTTAGAAAAGGTTTACAAAAATTTATTTATTATTCTGGTTAGTAATGATAAGCTTATTCAAACTGAGAGTAATCAAGAAACTATAACATCCACTTTTCCAATAATGACCTAGAAACAGAATCACAGTAAATCTGCAACCCTTATGTATTTCAAAGGATTTTTTGAAAACCAAATCAACATCAAAAAAATACTCGCCAAAGCCTTAGATCTCATTATCTAAATCAACATCGACAGTAGGTAAAGGTTATAACAGAGATATAATATGTACATTATACAAAAAGCTTGGATATTCTACGATCCAAGGTCAAAAGTGTTCATAATTCTTTGCGTATTCATGAATGTCGCCTATGCCTCACGCTAGTAAGTATAGGTAACTCCTTTGTCTATTAAAGAATAAAGGACCATAACAATTCGAAAGTTAATAGTGGTACAGACAAACTAACAAAAAGTGGGCCATCAAATTACCTGATCGTTTTGTATACTTCGAGGTCGGCAAATAACGTGAATCAAGAGAAATTGTAAGTGCTAAGACTAGGCTCTCTAATTAAGACAAGTAGCAGCAACAGCCGGTAATAGAATTTGAAGTACATTCTTTTTTTGGCATAAGTGCTCTCAAGGAACCATAATAGGATAATCGTTTATGAATGGAAAAAAAAGATCACTCACTATCTTCTTCAGAAGTAGCCTCTAACAGGGCAAGGTACGAGTATGTCAGGTCATGAAGGTTTTTCCTTTATAAAAAATTTGCTTTCACTTGTTTGACAAATTATGAGAGATCAAGTAATGTTTTTATGAACAAAAATGATATTTGGCATATAGAATTAGATAAAATGATTTTTTTTTATATTAGTTGATAAATACGCTCTCAATTTTATTCAAATTAGGGTTATACGTATTTATTTCATATACTTATACCTGTATATAATGTAAATTAAAAATAAGATCTAATTAAATAAAAAATGTAGAAAATTAAGACGAATGCTCGACATTACAGAATTTTAGTTTCTGGAGTCTTCTGTCCATATATTTAATCAAAATATTTTAATTCTTAAAGAATAATATTAATGAGTTTATTTTTCAAATTTTAATCTCTGGTTGGTCTAATTTCTATTTAAAATTCATCTATTACCAAAATATGTGAAACAAGGACCTTTTTCGTGGAGCACTGTATATTGTTTCGATATTTGTACATATGATTAACAAAAATGCTGCGTCATGTCTGAAAACCACTTATGCTGAAAACAGTGGCCGCTCTAATTACATTGAAGCTAGCGTGAAAGCCTCCACCTCTATTCATCTCCGCAAGTACATAGTAACCCAGCAAACCTTATAAAAAGTTTCATGCAGTAGCATGCATGCAGTGATAAATGGATTTTTATTCACGTCAGTACGGAAGATTAAACTTTTATGGAAGGCTACATAAATTTAGGCTTGCGAATTCAAATACAACTTCTATATGCTTTTATATAACTATGTCCGAAAAATAAAAACGTTCGTTTTGCTCAATTATTCTTTTTTGCTTTTTTTGCATATAAAATATTGCTTTAGAGATTTTTAAAAGCCATTATGGAAATTTTATTTATTTTAATTAAATTAAGAAGTAAATTTTTCTCTATTGTTATTTTATATGAACATCTTGAAATTCACTTCAATATCAGATATGAAGGCAATATATTAGAGTTTTATGTAAGAGAAGAAATATATTATTTTCTGATTTAAAACGCTACTCTGTATTTCACTGAAATATAAACCCTTAATCCGTTGTGAGGAAATTGAATTCAGAAAGTGCTTCTAAAATCAAGTCCTTTCAATTTTCTAGTAAGTGTTCGTGAAACCCGAAATTCAATCATAGTCTTTCTTTGATATACTATATTTATATTTTGACTTAATGTTAGAAAAGCCAAAAGGGAATTGAATTCGAATATTCTTTTCTTTTGATCAAACGGAAAAGATTAAATACACAATCAATCCTCAAGCCAAATTAATTAGAATTAAAATATACTTTTGTAAGTTAACTGTGCGTAATGCTAAAAGGAAAAATATTACTTAATTTGTTATTTAATCTTAAAGGTATATTCCATGAATCTGTTCCCATAGCGTTTAATAAATAAGACGAAACTTCTCAGCATTCCATGGATTCACCGTGCGGGTGCCGGGTAAATCGCGTTGCAGGGGGAGGAGCTTCAACAGTGCCTGGGACTTGCGACCCGAGTGTAGGTTTAAGGGGCCCCTTAACTAACGCGCGTTATACGCTCACCTCCACTGTCCAAGCTCCTCTCCCTACCTAACCAAATTTGAAAAGAACCTACTAGGGCTGCCTTCGATGTACGTTCCAAGAATGCATTAATGTGAGTTCTGGACAAGCCCAAGTCCTTTAGTAGGTTATAGAGAGATTTCGCTGTTATACCTCTCGCTCCCACCTCTACCGCGTACAAATCTACTACGAACCTATTTCGAGTGAGTTCGTTTGTGAGCTCGTAATATTTGTTGACCTTGATGGTATGGTCTTTGGGGATGTTGGTTTCCCAAGGGACCGTAAGCTCTATCATCACTACGCGCTTTAAAATTCGCGAAAACAAAAATATATCCGGTCTGGAGGCCGACGCACAAATATCCTTGGGGATTTTATATTGTTTTTCATACGTGTCCATCATTATAGTCCAATCCGACGCCGCTTTAAGGATGGAGTAAGGCTTGACGTTTGATTTTGTAGCCCTAGTGCCTTCTCTCACAAAACCTACTGATCGTTCGTTTGTGGTTATTCCCTTTTGCGCTCTGGCTACCGAAAGACTAACCGCTTCACGTATGACTTCTAGAACCCTATCGTGACGACGCGAGTATTGACCGCTGTCAAGGAGTACCTTACATCCCACCAGCAGATGCTTAGCAGTTCCAACTGCCTTTCCACAGATATAGCAAGTTTTTTCGGTACTTTTACCCCATCTTACTAAATTACTCTGATCTGGGAGAGTGATCTGGAACGCATTGAGATAGAATTTTAGCAATGCTGGCGACCAATCATAAATTAAAGTGCGCCATTTTAATGCTAATGGGATGCAAAAATCTCCTATGTCTAACCACTCGTTCTGCATTTCTAAATTCATTGCATGGATCTTATATTTATCATTCTCGTCTTGCCGAATAAAAGACTTCAATATATCCGCATCTTGGTCTTTCCTATTTGATCCTAACCCCGCTCTGTTACTTTGCGCTCCTATCATAAATTGCTTATGTAATTGAAGTCGTGACTCTAGCTCGGGGGCATCTTCATCTTTTGGGAGCGATGTCACTATGTCATCATGGGATTTCCCCAGGATATATCTCTTGGAAACTCTTAGGTGTTTATAGAGCTCCGATGGCCTTCTTAGACTCATCCCAAAACTATTGCTTCCCCTAAATAACGCCGATGAATCAGCCGTTAGAGCGAGCCCGAGCCACAACTTCAACATCTTTATGACGCCTGCATCTAACTTTGACAAAAGGGTTTTATTAAAATCATAGACGAGGAAAGGCCAATTCAAACGTGAAGTTAAGTAATTCTCGTAGATCCACGCTTTTTTGACGTTACTTATCAGTTGGCTATCTACCTTGTTAAGATCGTTCAAAAAGCTATCTACTATTCCTTCTAAAGATGGAGTACGGCCTATATTATCTATCTTACGACCGAGAAATTTAAATGGTGCATTTTCCGTAACCGTAGAAATGCATTGACCGCCTAACGATAGTCCCGGATCGTATGAGGTGTATCTTGTATTCCGCCTACCAAGACACAGACAGTGACATTTACTGGGTTTTGTCCTCAATCCATCCATCCACTCACAGAATTTATCCACTTCATCCAATAGTACCTGACAGTGTTTTAAATCAATAAAAAATTATGATAAGAGAAAATAATTTTACATATTCATAATATGTTTGTTTTTTAAATATCACAGTTGAAGATTTAAGTGAACAAAAATTAATTTACTTGAGTTTTGCAGTCTTATTTACGTATTATTTATCATCAGGCACAAGATTAGATACCTAAGGATTTATAAATGTGAAATATCTGTGAACATAAAACATGCTTAAAGCTTATATTTAATGTTAAGCTTAGTTTAGCCTCCTCTGAGAAAACGTCCTTTCAAGAAAAATAAAGTAAATGTTAGGTTATATAAGAAGGTTTGTACATTTATAAAAAATACTGGTATAAATATGAATGTTATACGAATGACATTAAATTTTTTGCTCATATATTGGACTATAAGGAATTTCATTAGATTTAAAATTTTAAACATATTATTCGTGCGACCGTACGATAATGGTTTAAAATTACAATTCCATATCATTATGTAATATTTGGCTATAACCTTTTTATTATCCTTGAAAGAATATACAAAGGATATGTAGGTATTTTTTAACAGGATAAAAAAGAAATTACAATTCGTCTCGTTATTGCTCGTTATTACGAGTACACGCAACTGTTGGGGTTACGGAAATATAATGAACTCTTGAGAAAAACGATTTCTATAAACAAAAAAATAACTCAGCTTTTGTAATACAATATAATCCAAGATTACAATCTGGATGTTACAAGTTTTCCTATATAGAAAGATTTGCACTAATCTCTTAAGACGATTTGTGAAAATATCGAAAAACAAAACTTGCCACTTTCTGTTATTAGACACAATGGTGAAACTTTTTATTTATTGTTCAATATGGAAAACAATATTTTATCTACTAAAGTTACTATCGTACCCCAAGTAAACTCCTTCTATCTAATATTGGATGTTTTAGAATCAGTAAATCATGTCAATTACGAAGGTCAATCCTGTAATTCTGTCAATCGACAAATATCTTTTAGCATGTCAAA